TCACAATATTTCGAGTGCTTTGGTTAGCTCCATTCTTTAATAGCAGCTGTACAGTGTCATAATGTCCTCTCTCTGCTGCTGCAATAAGAGCCGTATTTCCATGCTATAATAACAAGATTATGACAGATTGGTTTCCTCCCAAAAAAATAAAATTATAATTCTGATTGACAATTTTAGTGAAAATGAATGTAAATATATGTATGTACATGCACAACTACATGTACAAGGCTGGGTACTTGAGTACAGCTATTTGCATAGACCTTACAAGCTGGCAGACTGCAGTTGTACATGTAGGTGGGCTGTTTGTTTAATGTAACCACACAATACAAGACACACTTAAGTTAGACAGTCACCTTTCAAGTTCATAGATTGATTTATGAATTGGTTTGCAAGGTCCATGCAATTTGCTGTGATAGCACAGAACATCCACCAAGGACTTGAGTGCTTGTGTTTACATGTACATGTATATAAGGCAAGAAGTACTTGAATGTGCTTTATACTCATTAAACATATAATAAGCAGTATACCATAAAGCACAAAATTTTTGAGGGCTATAAAATTTGCAAAATTAATAATTTATGTCATCTTGTACCATAATAATAATTTGATTTTCACAAAACAAATCTTTCAAATATTGTGAAATCCATGAAATTTACAGCCTTTGAATACAGTAGTTCTTGGCTTGTACTTATACACCGCACATGTACATGCAGGTAGTACTACTCTAGTACTTCTAAGGAAACTAATACATAAAATTCTAATTACACATGTGTACACTATTACATTGCCTACAAATAACTTACATAGTTTAAATGTGAAGGATCAGCTCCTTTCTTCAGAAGTAATTCTACAACATCACAGTTTCCTCCTCTTGCTGCTTCAATAAGAGCAGTATCTCCTCTCTATAGTAAAACAAGATAATGATACATTACATGAAGTTTCTAATGTTGCAATTGTTTCCCTAAAAAAGATAAATATGTGTAGTATGTGGTTCTTGCACATTGTAGTTTAGACAAAACAACTAAGCTAGGGTAGCCTTGTGTATACCTGGCCAGACACTGTTTCAGTGTCACAGAGAATAGGGGTCTGACTATGTGAGAACAGTTACAGTAGTTAAAGGATAGAACATCATGCAAGACGTAACATTAATTTTTAGAATCATACATGAATGAACAAGAATTTGTAGCTACATGTACATGAGTGTACATGAGTGCATACAGTACATCATGTAAATGTAACGTACAGTAAGCAGTATGGAAGTGGTTCACAAAAGCTTTGTGAAACAGTTAATTAGCTTTTCATTCTAAAATCTTGGTATACACATGTAGTATGTGTGAACTAAAATTATTTTTGTCAATATGCAACTGATACGGCTAACAGTGAGAGTACTATACGTATATGTTATTACACCCCTGCGAGTGCAATATCCGATTTACAAGCACCGAGCCCGAGGGCCATAGGCCCTCAGGCTCGGTGCTTGTAAATCAGATATTGCACGAGCATGGGTGTAATAACAAATTTATTTCCAATTGAAGCTATATGGTACACGCACTGCGCATGCGTAAAGCAATTTTACATGTGGCAAGTACCTGACAAGTGACAAGTTGACAGAGAGCTTAGAGATGGCTGACAGGAGCGACTGCAATCCGCCCAAAAAGAGGAAAGTGTCACTTTCATTAAAAAGAAGAAAGAAGGAAGGTGGAGAGGACAGCGAGCATTTAAGAAGAAAGAAGGAATGTGGTGAGGACAGCGAGCGTTTTGTTGCTGTATCGAAAGAGGCTTTAGAAGACCTATCTATCTATAAAATGCCGGAAAACTCTGCTCTCAATAGTCAATGGGACTATAATTATAATTTATTTGCTTAAAAATTTAATTTTGTGTCAAATTGTCAATAGTATTATTATTCAAAAAGTCAAAGGTCAATAATGTGTGAAAACCACAGTGCACTGTACCAAACATCAAAGGGATTTACATGCACTCAGTGCACTGTATCTGATTTATTGCACTGGCGGTCCCTTTGAAGTATAGCTTGAGTGGGAAATAAATAATGTAAAAGGGTCGAGAAGCTTCTACCTTGTACCCATTCTCATGCATGAACATCTAGATACATGTACTTTGTACCTGTACATTTCAAATTCTTTTGCTATGCTTCAAACATTTACATCTACACTACATGTACATCACCTACACTGTTGTGTACATAAATAAGTATAGATAGTGGTTTGTCATTAATATTCCTAGTTATTAAATGTATTATTAGTTTTAGTGCTATCATTAATTGCTACATGTACATGAATGTACTTTTTATGTTGCGTTTATCAGTATTATTATACTGCATGTATCACATGTATCTAAAAACAGTATATACATTTCACTATCTTCTGTCATTAAGTTTTGTACACTAAATTTCTAAAGAGAAAACTATTAAATATGTGAATATAAAACATAAATGTGTCAATTACATGTGCATTGTAAGTCCAGAAGTTACACGTACCAGTGTTCTTTTAGTAAAACATATGCAACACACACTTGATATCATTAGATTAGAATGACACTTCATAACTGATAACAATTTTGTTAAAAGGAATAGATTCCAGTATACTCACTGTGTCTCTAAGGCGAATTTTAGCTCCTGCAGACAATAAAATTTGTACAACATCATGATATCCTCCTCTTGCAGCAACATGAAGAGAAGTAGCTCCACCCTACAAGAAACACAAGACAATGTTTGTACATGTCAGTCTATTACAAAAACATAAAGTACTGTACTACCATGTAAAACTG